GTCGGAACCTCGGGTGAGCGTAGACCGGCAGGCGTGGGCGGGGCGGGCGCTGGACGTGACGTTTCCGGAAACCCCGAGTGTCATCCGCGGGGAAAGGTGGGGAAGGGTCGCGGGCGGCGGTGGGGCGAGGGCCGTGAGCGTGGCCGGACCTGACGCGGAGCGGCCTCCGTGAGTGTGGGGCCTGCAGCCTTCTTCGCCCCCGCGCCCCCTGCGCGTCCCGCAGCGCGCGAGGCCCCTGACGGCTCGGTCCCCGCGGGCTGGCGCCTGACCAGCCAGGCCTCGGATGATTTTGCTCCAGGTTGGCCATTGGGGCTTGAGTGTCTTCGAGAAGGGCGCCTCAAGCAGTTGTCCAAAATTCCCTCTCTAGTGTGGATGCCCCTTCCGTCCCCGGCTGCGCCTCCTACTCCTTGTGTTTCCCCTCAGTCCTTCAGGCCACCCTTCCCGGCTCTTTGCGGTGCGCTTCTCTCTGGAGTGCCTGGCGCTCTGGTACCCGGTGCCGCTTGCTGGCCTCGGGACGGGGTTGCCTACCCGACCCATAAAATCTCTCCCGGAGAGGTGCTGAGATGCAGCGAGCATTTTGCGTTTCACTTACTTTAAAGGACGCTGGGCTGGGTTTACTTATTAGGCAGCCTAGGGAGGTTTCAGGTTGGCAAGAGGCTTTGTGGGAGAGGCAGGGCTACCGCACCCCTCGCACCCCTCGTAATCGCCACGGCGTCTGTGCCATCGGTCAAGGTGTCTTAGAGGGGACGCTTTGTGGACGAAATGTGACCAGAATGCTGCAGAGACCTAAAAATAGAATTGACTGAGAGGAGTCTCTCTTTGGGAAGGATTGGAACAGAAAACAGAAAAACAGTGGCTAGACAAATGAAACAGAAATGTGAGGACTCCTGGGCAGATTGGAATCCTGACTGAAACAAAAGATCTTTGGAGAGGAGTAAGGAAAACACAAGATGGGGCCAGTTGACACAGGGCCTTGAATTCCTGATGAATTCTACTATAGCTTATATATTCTAGAGCATGCTGGTTAGCGTGTATTCTGTAATTCACTATTCCAAATACTCAGATTTAAAAAAAAATTCTTTAATTTAAAAATTATTACTATTATTTAATTTTACCAGACAGACAGATGGAAAGGGAGAAAGCAAGCCACCAGGTCTAGGACTTGAACCAGTTGGCGGTGTGGGAGTCCAGCACCTGCCAACCCATAGATTCTTTTTGAAGATGATGAAGAGTGATGTTATCTGGTTGAAATTTGGATTCTGATTCTAAGCAATAATATCTACAAAGATTGTAGAATTATTGGAGTTTGGGAACCAGGGAAGGAAAATTCCCAGGTGGGTTTTTTTTTTTTTTTTTTTTTGCATTCCAACTTATCTTTGTACTCTTTTGTTTTCCAAAGAGTGCTTGGTCTTTGAGGATGAGTAAATCATTTTTCTCTAGATGTAGATTCTTTCCTGTGATAATGATGAATGATCTTGTAGACTAAATGGAATAGTGGCTTAGTGAGAAGAGAGAGGGATGATATGAACATTTATTGCCAGACCAGTTCCCCTAATTGAAATCGTGATCAGATATGGAAAAGTACACCACAGAAAGTATTATTTCCAGTCTAAATAAAAATGATCAGACTTTCAGTTAATGATCTTCGTGAAAGTTTGCCAGGCACTCTGTCAGGGGTGAATGGAAGTGGGTAGCAGGAAGGAGAAACAATGGAAAGAATATTAAATACTGTCCATGCCTTTATGGTGATGTGTGCAGGGCCGCTTAATGGCAGACAATGACTGACGGGAAAGGTAGACCTGAATGTAGCCTGTAATTGTTTTACTCCTCCTCCTACGTAATTATGGAACAGGGGCTGTCGGTGGGATTTTGAATTGGCCAGTCCTCTCATTGTGGTGCTTTCAGTGACTTTGAGGTTCTCAGTCTTCTTGTAGGAAAGCGGCTTCATCTGATATGAGCCATGGCACATTGCATTTTTCTCTACTTTCCTCTTAGGTAGAGATTTGTGAGAGAAACAAGCCCTGTGCTAGATAATGCTGGATGAATGGTGGTCATGGTGCTGATGCCATCTGTTTTCTTTTTTCCAACCCAGAACTTGGTCCTGATGTCTGATCATGGAGATGTGAGCCTCCCACCCGAAGACCGGGTGAGGGCTCTCTCCCAGCTGGGGAGTGTGGTGGAGGTGAATGAAGACATTCCACCCCGGCGGTACTTCCGCTCTGGAGTTGAGATGATTCGAATGGCATCCATTTACTCTGAGGAAGGCAACATCGAACGTGCTTTCATCCTCTATAACAAGTATATCACGTAAGACACCTACAGCTTCCTTTTTCTTTTCTGGGGACTTGCACTCACTTATTCTGCTCAGAAATGCTAAAAACTAGAGAACTTGGCAACATCACCAGCATTAATCATTTTGCTGGCAGCTCCTACGTATTGGCTGTCCTTGCCATTCAGAGACATGAGTACTAAAGGTGTTGTTTTCATGACTCAGTCATTTCATGAGTAAGAGACTTAGATCTTTGGTCTGTGCCCACATGGCCCAGCTGTTTGACAAAAGAGTTGGTTAAACAAGATATGGTACGTACCAATGAATGCTTTTGCTGTCCTATTAAGGCAGCCAGTCATAGGATTATTGTTATGGTCTGACAGAGCCCATATTCTTCACCTCTACTGGTTTTGTAGCAATTTCAGTGATACATAATAGAAGAATGTTTTCTTCTTAACCTTTATCATAATCATCAAATCACTATTACACATCATCAAATACATGTTGACCACCTCCACTTTATGTAGTTCACCATAATAAAAACCTTTCTCGTATTACCTGTCATCTGAGGGAGAAAGCATAACTAGATTTCAGTACTGTCAACAAGGGACATTCCTAAAGCCCCAGTGACAATGACATGATATGTAATTTAGGAAGAGAATAATGTTAAAGGTCTCACTTGTCATTTCTCGTCTTGTCTTTTTGTATTACTCGGACCTTTAAAACAATAATTCCAATGCATTTGTGTGGCTCTTAATCATTTCTGGGGTATTTTACCTGCATGGTTTAGTTTGAGCTTCATAGCTCTGTATAGTGAGGAGGGCATGTCATCCTCCCAGTCTATACGTAAAAGAATCAAACTCAGGGCGCAGCTCTAGCTCAGGTTCTACAGCTTGGAGTGACAGAGCTCAGGTTTTATAGCTCCTAATTCAGGATTCATTCTACAGCATAGGTCCGATTCCTTTCATTTTTCGTTTAATAGTGTTCTAGGAGTTGAAGGTGGTCGGATGAGATCATAGTCATGAGCTGCACTGACTGTTTTCTGTTTACTTTTTTTTTTTTTTACATAGGTTTTTGCCTTAGGGCACACATGCTCACTGGAAAGACAGAGACAGTGAGAGGGAAAGTGACAAATCATACCCCCCCCCCCCACCACCAGTGGGAATAGCCAAGCTGGAGTCCCTTCACTCTCCTTTTGGGATCTTGGCATGCATGCACATGTACCCTGAATGATTTTCTTTTCTTTTCTTTTCTTTTCTTTTCTTTTCTTTTCTTTTCTTTTCTTTTCTTTACTTTACTTTACTTTACTTTTCTTTTGAGAGGTTTTTGGTATAGGGTGTGTCACTCACCAGAAAGACAGAGAGGGACAGAGAGACAGAAAGTGAGTCTAAGCCACTGGGTCCAGGACTTGAACCGCAGTCGACTACATGGGAGTCCAGCAACATAACATAGCCATTGTGCCAACTGCTGGTCCCAGAGTCCTGAATGATTTTCAAGCCACCAGATTCAGGATTCAAACCATGGTCGGCCATGTGGGAGTTCAGCGATGTAACCACTATGCATGCCATCTGCTGATCCTGGTTACTTTTTATTTTTTGGAGAGATTTTTGCTATAGGGTGCATATGCTTGCCAGAAAGACAGAGACAGAGAGATAGAAAGCGAGAAATCACCCCCCGGGGTGGATGGTCACACCATAATCCCTTCTTCTCCATTCTCCTCTTGGGATCTTGGGCATGCACGCACACGTGCCCGGCTTGAGTTTAAGCCACTGGGTCTATGACTCGAACTGCAGTTGACTACATGGGAGTTCAGTGACATAGCCATTACGCTAACTGTTGGTCCCAGGTTACTTTTTATTTTTGTATTTTGAGTAACATACCCATGTTACAGAATTCAGAAGGCACAAATGAGTTTAAATAATTAAAAGTAAAATTTCCTACTCACTTTTTTCCCTCAAACCTTCAGTTTCTTCTTCTATGATAGTAACTCTTACTAGTTTCTACTACATATCAATTTTATCATATATCATATCATATATCAATTTGATCATATATCCCCATAAAGCAAGGTTTCTCAACTTTTGTACCATTGACCTTTTGGACTGACCTTTTATTGTGGGAGCTGTGTTTGCGTTGTAAGGTGTTTAGCAACATCCCTGGGCCTACCCACTGAATGTCAGTAGTGCCCCCTCCACCCATTCGTGACAACCAAAAATATCTCTAGATATTGCCTAATGTTCTCTGAAGGGCAACAGTGCCCCTGGTTGAGAGCCAGTCTCTAATGAACAGAATGTGAAAGACTAGACTGTCTAGGATTCATACTGTAATTTTAAAGTGGAGAAAAAAGATGACTGGTTTTTTGTTTGTTTTGCTATAGGGTGCATGTGCTTCCCAGGAAGAGGGAGAGAAAGAAAGAAAGTGAGATAGAGAGAGAAAGAAAGTGAGAAATCGTCCCCAAAAGGGGTTGGCCATGCCACATTCCCTTCTCTTCAGGATTCTAGAACAGTAAGCACCTGCACCCAGCATGTTTTTCAAACCACTAGGTCTGGGACTTGAACCACACGGTTGGTCATGTGGGATCCAGCTGCTTTAACCACCATGCAATCATCTGGCCTGTACTTTTTTTTTTTGGAGAAGTTTTTGCAGTAGGGTGCGTGTGCTCGCCAGAAAAACAGAGAGAGGCAGAGAGACAGAAAGCGAGGAATCACCCCTCAGGGAGGATGGCCACGCCGCAATCCCTTTTCCTCCATTCTCCTTTCAGGGTCTTGGGCACACATACCTGATGTGATTTTCAAGCTTCTGGGTCCAGGATGCAAACCATGTGGGAGTTCAACAGTGTAACCACTACACCATCTGCTGCCCCATGTTTTGTATTAAACAAACAAACAAACAAACAAACAATCTGCTAGAGGGCGGTTGTGCTTGCCAGAGACACAGGAAGAGAAGAAAGTAAGAAAGCACTCCTCATGGAAGATGGTCACACCTCAGTCCCATCTCCATTTCCTCTTTTGGAATTTTGGGCATACACACATGTGCCAGACATGTCTTTATATTTTTCAAGCTGCAGGGTCTGGGACTTAAACTGTGCAGTTAGCCAAATGGGATCCTGCCACCTTAACAGCCATGTCACTGACTGGACCAATCTTTTGTAATTTATGTTATATCTTTTTTTTTTTTAATTAGCTCCTACTTTTTAAAAATTTAATTCCATTTGTTATTATTATTTATTTGACCAGTCAGAGTCAGAAAGAGAAAGGGAAAGTGATAAAGCAAACCACAAGGTCCGTTGCTCGAACTGTAGTCGGCTGTGTGGGAATCTAGCATGTATAGCCACCACGTCACCTGCCAGCCCCATTTATGTTATATCTTTAAAAAAATTATTCTGAGGGACCAGCAGTTAGCATAATGGCTATGTCGCTGGACTCCCACGTAGTCGACCGCAGTTCGCGTCCCGGACACGTGTGTGTGCGTGCCCAAGATTGCGGCGTGACCATCCCCCCTGGGGGGTGATTTCTCGCTTTCTGTCTCTCTGTTTCTCTCTGTCTGTCTGGCGAGCACACACGCCCTATAGCGAAAAAAAACCTCTCCAAAAAAAAAAAAAAAATTATTCTGAGAAGGGCCCCATGGGCTTCACTGGATGTCAGAAGGATCCATGACATATTAAAGGGTCAAGAATCCTTGATAACAAAGAGAGACAGAGCCTAGGACTGAGCTCCAGTGCTGATTAGTGGAGGGAGAGCCAACGCAGAAGACTTTGAAGGGAGACTGGAGAGGCAGGAGGATATTCAGGAAAGAGCGGTGGTATGGGAACCAAAACAGATCAGCGTTTGAAAGAGAGTGACCTGCTGTGTTAGGTGGAAAAGATAGAATAGTGGCCTTTGGTTTGGTAACATAATGTTGTTAGTGACCTTAGTAAGCAATCTTACTAAAAGCATTAAAGAGACACCAAATTAGATTGGGTGGAAAGGTGAATGGATATTAAGAAAGTGGAGGCAGTGCATATGGACCGTATGTTAGCAAAATTTTCTGAATAACCAGGTAGTAGAACTTCTTGGTTTTTGCAGGCCACTTGATTTCTGTCACAACTTATGCTTTGTTGTGTGAAAGCAGCTATAGACAACTCACGAATGAATGGATGTGGCTGGTTCTAGTGAAGCTTTATTTACAAATAGAGTGCAGGGCCGGCAGGTGGTATGGTGGTTAAGGGTGCTGGACTCCCACGTGGCCAACCATGGTTTGAGTCCCAGATCTGGCAGCTTGCTTTTGCACTTTCCCTCTCTCTCTCTGTCCCTCCCTTGCTCTGTCCCTCTCTGGTCAAATTAAAAGAAAAAAGAGGGAGAGAGAGAAAGAAAAGTTAAATAAAATAATTCTTAAAACAACAACAACAGGGACCAGCAGTTAGCATAATGGCTATGTCGTTGGACTCCCATGTAGTCTACCGCGGTTCGCGTCCTGGACCTGGTGGCTTAAAACTCACGCTGGGTGCGTGTGCGTGCATGCCCAAGATCCCAAGAGGAGAATGGAGAAGGGATTGCTGCGTGGCCATCCCCCTGGGGGATGATTTCTCGCTTCCTGTCTCTCTGTCTCTCTGTCTATCTGGCAAGCATACGTGCCCTATAGCAAAAACCTCTCAAAAAAAAAAAAAAAACAGCAACAACAAAACAGAGTACTAGCTGGATTTGGCCTGATAGCTATAGAAAGAGAGAGAGAGAGAGAGTGTTAAATTAAATGATTCTTAAAAACAAAACAAAACAAAAAACCATAGTGCTAACTGGATTTGCCTTGATAGCTGTAGTTGGCCAAACCCTGGTAGATGCAACTCTTTGGAGAAGTTTGGCTGGGAAGGAAAGTAGAGAAATGGAGTAGTAGTTAAAAGGCGACAGGCAGAGTACGGATGTATGTGTGAATGTGTCATTATTATTAACTTTAGGTTTTTGCCATACAGTGCTTGTGCTCACTGGAGAGAGACACACAGATACAGAAAGAGGGAAGTGAGAAATTACCCACCAGGGGGGCCAGCCACACCACAATCCCTGCT